TTTCATCTTGTGAGGCAGGGGGGCAGGGGGGTCATGTGAGACGTCCTGGCGCCTGCGAAGACTACGTCTGGAGTCGACCCCGACGGGCTTTTAGCAGCGTTTCGCGAGCGACAGCTGGAACTCGAAGTGCATGCCGAAGGGGTTCGCCCAGATCCAGGAGATCCTGGGTCTGCAGGCCGCCCTCGACGGCTGCCATTGCGGTATCGAGACCAACGAGGGCGAGCCCATCAGGAAGCGATTTCGCGCCCCGACCAGCCGCCAGCTATTGGTGGGCAATCTCTACAAGAAGCGCGGCGGCACTCGCCGGCGTCCGAGGGTGCGCTCAGGCAGGGGGCTCGCCGCGACGGGCCGCTGCGCCGCGCCGCTGGTCGAGGCGATCGCGCGCCGTCGTGGGCCTCCCGACCAGCGCTACCCTGGCCGGGGCCATGCGCCCCAAAGCAGGCTCAGCTGAGGCCATCGCTGCAACTGGGGCTTACAAGTGCCTGGACTGCGAGAGGCGCATGCCCCCCCGCATCTCGACGCCAGCGTCGCTTCGCTCGAATTCCCGTGACTTTGGGGGTTGTGTAGCCATCGACCTCGCGGTTCTTGCCGACGTCAATGGCGGGCAGGCCCAGCGACGGAAAAAACGTAGACATGGCCGCCCAATTCCATCGGCTGGCGCCTCGCGTCGTGCGACTTCGCGCGCTATGTTCCCCGCGATGTGTGTGAGCTGGGCCGGGCAGGCCCGCGCAAGCATGGTCGACTTGGGTGGCGAGTTCGAGCGGGAGTTCCGGGGCGAGCACGGCGGCGCGCGCGCGGAGCTGATCGCCGCCGCCGAGCAGGCCCCCGCCCGGAACGGCGTCTGCGAGAGGCGCGGCGGCGAGTGGAGGTACATCGCGAAGGCCATCGTTGACGGATTCCAGCTTGACTTCGCAGTGCTTGGCGTAGTGGGGCGGCTCTGCGCCGTCGCGAACTGGGCGCTGCTCGCCGCGCGGCATCCAGTCCAACCATGCGCGCCTCTATTGGGCGAGCTCGAGAATGTGCGACCTTGCAGCAGCGCGCGGGCGCGCTGTCGGCTGACCGGCCCGGCCCATGCCGTCGAGTGCGACGGGGGGCTCTCGGCCGCCGTGCTAGCCAGTGGCCGAGGCCGAGCTGCTCGGGCCTCCAGCCCCAACTTCAACATCGGGGGCAGGTTATCTCCTGGCGGAGCCAACGAGGCCAAGCTTATATGAGATTTGAAAAGGCACGGCCCGGGGCGTCGCCATCGGCTGCGAACGCAGCGGCGCGTGGGTCTCCCACCGCGATGCTATGCTGGAGTGCTCGCCGAAAGATTTGCGACGCGCGCTGCCAGAATAATGCGTTCATTGGAACGCGACCCGGCGTTTATCGCCGAGAACGACTACTTCGACGTGGCCGTCGGCGGAGTGGAGATCCCGGATCCGCCGCGGGCCCGTCCGACCTTTGGGCGACGATTCGCAGGCGAGCGTCCAGCCCGTCCTAGATCCCGCGTCGTCTTGGCCGAGGAGGGGCCTGCCCCGGCCCCCGCCGAGCCCGAGGGCGAGTCGGCCAACTCGCGGGCGACGGACGTCCAGAACGCCGACGCTGACGCTGGCGCTGGCATCTACGCCGAGGAGCAGCAGGTCCCCGCGCCGCCCAGACCTCGCTGACCTCGCGCGGAGGCTGAGGCGTCCGTGCCGCCGTCGTCGCCGACGGCAGCGCCGAGCACCGATTGCGACGAGACCGAGGAGGTTGCCGCCCCCATAACAGACTCCAAGGAGGAGCACCCCCGGGAGGGCCTGAGACGCCGTGGGGCCAGCAAGATTGACCAGGCCGCAACCGCGACTTCGACCTCGGGCTCGCCTGGCTTCGGGCGCGACCCTGTCTTGGACGAGGCAATGCCTGGCCCCGCCAAGTCCGTGGCCGAGGCGACGCCGCCGCGGCGCCGGCGACGGCGCGATCGCGTCGACGACTTGCCTCGCAGCGTCCAGGCGATTCTCGCGAGCCAGCAGACGAGCAAGAAGCAGCGCGTCGACGAGCGCCTCATCGTGGAGTTGGCGCTCAAGGAGTCTGTCGATTTCGAGTACTTTACTTGCTGCCTGACTCACTTCAGGCGCGTCGACGTCGCGGGGAAGTGAAGGAGGTCGCCTGCGAGGGCCTGGCTGGCGCATGGCAAATCAGGATGAGAAACGCCATGGCTTCATAATGGGGCGAGTGGTATGTGCTAACCAGGAGGAATGCGGTAGCTACTGCGCCAGAGGCTCAAGCCCGAGGAATTTTGCACGAGGTGGGCGCGCGCCGACAAGGGTGCTGACGAATTCAAGGCAAGATAGGTAATCCGAGACTGCTGGGGGCGCGACGTCGAAATCCCCGACGGCCCTCCCGCTGGGGGCCATGGCGCATCCTGGGTCAAGACAGGATTCGCCGCCCAAACAGGCTGGGCATGTGTCTTCTACGATGGGCCTCCTGGCCGAGGGCATCGACGGGTTCCCGATGGCCAATGTGCCGCTGGAGAATCTGCCTCCAGGCGCTTGCCCAGGTCGGTTCTTCCTCGCCCAGGGGGGCATCTACGGGGCCAGGGCGCTGGCCAGGCCTGTCACCTCTGCGTGCGTTCCGTGTTCCAGGAGTCCCAGATCTACGAGAGCAAGCTGGAAAATGGGGTTGGTACTGCATGGTGCGCAGGGGGAGACCGTTCTCGTGGTCTACTCCCATGTGGATGACATGTTCGCAGCGTGGGGCAAATCATCGACGTGGAGGTTGGCGACGTAAGCTTTCTGGGCACGCCAGAGGAGATCGGCAGCTTCAGGGCCACCGACGGGCATGTCCAACGGGTGGCTACTCGATCGAGGCCCGGGGATCGGCAAGCGCGAGATCTCGGGCGTGGTAGGCCTCGACAAGTTGGTTCTCGAGTAAGCAGAGCTCTACGTTATTGGCTCGAGTGGTGCGAGGCCGCGCGCAGGTGCTGCGAGCGTAGGTTGCATTCTACGGAGACTCGGCCTCCGCGATCGCCCGGGGGGGGGGGCGAGAAGTGCCAATGCGTCCTGGCAGGGGGCCTCGCCCGCGAGCTTCAGGAGGTCGTCCGGGGAAAGTCCCTCGCGGTGGTTCTGCTCGCGCGGTGCTCGGGGCGAGTCGAGCGGGTCGTGCGCAGCATCCTCGGTGCCGAGGCCCGCGCGATCAGCGAGGCATTCGAGCGCGCCGATTGGTGCAGGCAGGTGCTTGCGGAGTTCATCTTGGCGGCCATGATGGGCAAATCACCCGAGCTCCAGGGCGCGGCCCTACTCCGGGAAATTCAAGATGACGAGCTGACAGCGAGAGCCTGCAGGTGACCGTCGAGAAGGACGCCGGCGTCGTCCAGGACAGGAGGCTCAGGGTCGTCGCGAGCATGCTCAGGGAGACGTGCGCACTTGTGGCATCGGTGACGAGCCCGCGCCATGGTGGCAGACGCGTTGACGAAGGTCGTGCTCGTGGCGCTCTTGACGAAGTTCGTGAAACTCAAGGGCAAAACTGTCATCTTGATATTGACGCTCGCCTCGCTGGCCACCCGCGGCATGGCGTGGCCACTGCGGCGCTCGCAGGAGCTGGGGTGCCCGCTCGACGAGCCGAGCTCCTGCGCATGGAGCCTTGCGCCGTGGAGTGGCTCATCTGCCCAAAAGGGTTCGTGCATGCTTGCGTGTGTCAAGCAGCTGCCGCTGATGGAGACCACCGAGACGATCTCGAGGACCGAATCCGACGGCGAGGCCCCCGACGAGCAGATTCCCGAGCTCAAGATAGTGCGCGCCTGCGACGTGGTGACGGTGAACCATGCGACCTGAGTGCAAAAACTTCGTCACAACCCCGTGAATCATTACTTGGGCGAGGCCGCCTACGCCAGGACGTACTGCCGACCTGTGGTAAGCACGCAGCCCACGAGTCGTTGCGCAGCTGCTTCGCGCGCTGCCCGGACGTCCCGACGGAGAGAGGCCGGAGAGGTCATCGTGTTCAGAGGGCAGAGGCCCGCCAATTTGAGAGGTTCATTTAGCGAGCCTCTCTCTCATGCGAGAGGCAAGTGGGCCTCCATTCGCCTCCTGGGCCACCGACGGCCCCGTCCGAGTTTTTTTTTTGAGCGGCCGCCTTGGCCGCCTTCCGTGTGCGGGGCGAGACGGCCCTAACCGCCCGAGGCCTCGCAGCCTCTGCCAGGAGCCCGGCCAGGCTCAATGTGTTGTATTGTGCTGCCCGCTTTTGGCAGCCAGGCAAGATACCTTCCTCTTCTTCCTCTTCCGTTCTTATGGGTAGGCGCGCTGCAAGGTATTTGTTTATGTTCGAAGAGTTTCACTGCCATGTGGTTTGTTCGGCTGTGTTTGAGCTCGGCATATCGGCCATGTGGTTTTGTGTGTTCCCCCCGAGGTCCTCGGTTCGACTTGCTGCTCTTCTTGGGCTTATTCGTAGAACTGTACAGCGCACGCGTGGAGGAGCTTGCGTAAGCAAATTGACATATATGGTTGGATCGCCCTGCTGCTGCACCTGCTAGTTCCTTACCGTTCTTTCTGTAAATCTGTTTGCTCAGGCGCTTTGACCAGCTAGATTCTGTTGGGCAGAATCTACGACCGATATCCACCGCGTCCGCATCGACCCCCCGATCGCCATTTTATCGCCGATGCGGGCTCGACGTCATTTCTTGACTAGGACCGTACAGTTTTGCCTTCAGGAGTCGGTTGTAGCTCTATCGGCGATGTTTTGCCGATTCAAGTTCCTTGCGTTCCTCCATGACCTGTCCCCCCTCTCGTTTCCCTCAGGGTCGGAACAGAGGTCAGCATCGACAGTCCAATCCCGGTCCCCAGTGGGTACACGTTTTGCCCGCCAGCCGACCTGGCCCCCTGGGTGGGCTAGGTGCCGTTGCCGTTGGGTTCTTTGGCACTTGTCCCCACCTGGAGCCGGTAGGCTGGTGGCGTGAAAGAGCCTTGGGTCCCTGTGGACAGGGATAGGTATCACGGTTTTGAGGAGCAAGGGGAGGCGGATACAGTTGCGGAAGTGGAGCAGGAGGAGAAGCAGGCAACAGTTGGCAGCGTCGGAGGAAATATTGCATCTTAGCGCAGGTGCGCTTGCAGGTGATGCCAGCTTGTTCACATGATTGACGTGCGTCGCAAAATCATGCATGCCAACGCTGTCCAGTCATGGCGCGGAAGGTAATCAGCATGACCCGTTGAGTCAATAGTTCTTTTGACGTGCTCGTATTTTTCGTGGTCCTCCTCCCCCTTTCTTCGGTTTATGGGGCTGCAAATCCTCCTGGCCACCCTGTCCGGCGCCGTTGACGAGTGGATCCCTGGTCTGAACACGGAGGCGACCCTGGGAGGACGCCAGGAAGCTCGGGAATCACAGGCAGGCTCAGAAGCTGTTCGTAGCGCATCGCGATGCCAGTGTAAGATTCACAGTCAGCCTGGCGGTAATGGTGATGACGATGGTGGCGGTGGTTGCTCTACGGATGCGATGAGCAGAGGTCTATAGAGGAGGAGGAGGAGGAGGAGGAGGAGGAGGAGGAGGAGGAAGAGGAGGAGGAGGAGGAGGAAGAGGAGGAGGAGGCGGACATGGACCACTGAGACGCAGACAAACAGGGTCGTCTGCACCGACGCTGGCGCGTACCCTTGTCCGCGCAAGGTCGCGCGTGCGCGCCCTCGCTTCCGGTGTCGCGTGCCGCGCTGGCGGCCCGCGTGAGCCGCCGCTTGAGGTCGCTGTGTCGTCTCGCGTCTGACCCATGGGCTTCGTCGCCCAGCTGGCTCTGCCCTGTCGTGCCAGGGCGCCGTGTGGAGAGCGACGATCGGTGGGGCTGTGAGGGCCGCAGCGGGAGCAGGAGCCGAGCCGCCAGCCAGCCCGAGGCGAGTGAGCGGGCCACGCCCACGCACGCCGCACCCTCGCACGACCCAGGGCCCCCACTCAAGCAGCGAAAGGAGGACGCTCGCGTGCACGAGTCCACGTCGGTCTCGAGAGCACGCATCGGTGCGAACGTTCGCCTCACGAGGCTGATCTCGCGGCCTGCGGGGTCTCCTCCTCCTCCTCATCTTCTTCCTCATGCTCATCCTCATCCTCATCCTCCCCCTCCTCCTCCTCCTCCTTCTCCTCCCCATCCTCCTCCATCTCCTCCTCCTCCCTCCTCCTCCTCCTCCTCCTCCTCCTCCTCCTCCTCCTCCTCCTCCTCCTCCTCCTCCTCCTCCCCTCTCATCCTCATCCTCCCCCTCCTCCTCCTCCTCCTTCTCCTCCTCCTCCTCCGTGTGCATGTGCGCGGTTGGGCGCGCACGTCCCTGGTGGGCTCCCGGGGGGCGGCATCGGGGGCTCGAGGCAGGGCCCGACGGGGGGCGCGAGGGGGAGGGCCGCGCGGCGCGCATCGAGGGGGGCGCGATCGTGCGCGCGCGCTAGCCGGCGACCTCCCGTCGGCCCGCGCAATGGGGAGGAGGAGGAGGAGGAGGAGGAGGAGGAGGCGGAGGAGGAGGAGGAGGAGGAGGAGGAGGAGGGGGAGGAGGAGGAGGAGGCGAGGAGGAGGAGGAGGAGGGAGGAGGAGGAGGAGGAGGAGGAGGAGAGGAGGAGGAGGAGGAGAGGAGGAGGAGGAGGAGGAGGAGGAGGAGGAGGAGGAGGAGGAGGAGGAGGAGGAGGAGGAGGAGGTGGAGACGGACATGGACTGATGGGGGCGCGGTGTGCGCGCGTAGGCGGGCGACCTCCCGTCAGCCCGCGCAGTGGTAAGGCGGAGCGGTCTTCCAAGGTTGCCCTAAGTCGGGCCTGTCCCCCTACAGGGGGATTTTCGACGAAACATAAAACATACCCCAAAGATATCCAAACAATAGTCCAAAAGTAGTCTGGGGACTATTTTTTTTTTTTTTGTTTGCCTTCTTGGGGTATTTTTTGAGTATTTTTTTTTTTTTGATTTTTCGTAGAAAATCCCCCTGTAGGGGGACACGCCCGACATAAAGGTTGCCCCTGCCTCCTTCGCCTCCTCCCCGTCGGCCCGTCCTTGGCCGCTTCCGCTGGCCTCGCCCCGCTCGCGAAGTGCCGGCGTGGCCTTCCAAGGCCCTCGCACCCTCATCGTGCGTCATTCTTTCACGGGTTCGCTGTATCTATCTATCTATCTATCTATCTATCTATCTATCTATCTATCTATCTATCTATGTATATATATAGCACGGTAACCAATGCCGGCACTACCTGACAGCCGACCGCTTGCAGAAAGGTGAGGCCTTGTCGTGTATCGGCTCGCCCATGCAGGTTGGCCGGCGCGCTGTTGCAGGCCAGTTGCTCGTTTCTTCCGCATCCTTCTTCCCTTCCTCCCCTCGTCCTCCAGCCAGCTCCTGTAGGGAGCTAATTAGTGCACTCATCTCGCCGACGGCATATGTTACAGCTCTCGTTCGGTATCCTTGGTTCACGTCGGCGGCGAGCCCAGGGGAAGTGAGAAGGGGCAGGCTTTCTTAGAAGGCTCGGACGTCCCCAGGCTTTCTCAGAAGTTTCGTAAGTTATCTTCGAAGATGCAGAACGCTTCTCAGCAGGCGCGAGGGCTTCTGAGAAGTCTGGCCGATTTCTGAGAAGGCCTTCTCCTTCTCACTGTCGGCTACGCGCAGAGAGTGGGGCAGGGGGAAGGGGGCGGGCTTCTTAGAAACACCGCTGCTTCTTAGAAGGCGCGGGCCTTGTCTGTAGATACAAGGCCCGCGCCTTGTAAGCAGCGGGCCCCTTCTACTAAGAAGCATGCCCCCTCCCCCTACCCCCTTTCTGCGTGCCGCCAACACTTCTCCCCCCCTCTCCGCCGCCGTATCCAGGCATTTCCCGCAGCGCGAAGGTCGCGCGCCGAGTCAGCTGAGCACGACGCAGCGCGCTTAAACTGACCTCTAGCGGAGGGCAGCAGGGCGACCACGGCACTGCTCCGAGGTCCCGATGCAGCTCCGACGTGCGTTCTCCCGTCGCGGGCGGCGGCTTTTCATGGCGTGCAGGGAACCCCTTGCTCCGATGCTGGGGTTTATCCATATACTTGGTATCGCTCGGACGTGTGCATTTTTTCTCGGAGGGGACCATCGAGGAACATCCTGGATCATCTGGCAACAAATCACCCACGAAACCGAAATGCTCGGGGAATGGATGTCCAAGCAAGGGCAAATCTATGCGCCGTATAGGACGCGGTAGATCTGGATGTACTCGCCCCCCCCGGCAGGGCCCACATGTCTGGTGGTCTTCGGCCCATCTCGCCACATTGTCCAGGTTGTCCGTCGGAGGCCTCCTGGATGCATGTTAAGGGTCTCGTGGGATGCTTCTCGGTTGCCTCTTGGATGCAGCTTCAACATCTTAGGGCTTCTTGGGTGCTTCTTTGGGGCCTCTTTTGGGCCTCGTGGGGGGTGCTCGGGGCCTCGTCGGGGCCTCTTGGGGGCCTGCTGGCGGTCTCGGGGGTCATCTTACGAAGGGGTGCCGGGCTCACAGTACCAGTTCGTCATCCCCCTGGCCCCTCCTGGGGCCCTCGTGGTCCGCTTGCGCCATTGATGGAAGAAAGGGGTGTTCTTAATGTCACCCCCCCCCGCCAGGGGCCCAAACATGGCTCCTCGGGGCCCTCTTGGGGCGCTCTTGCGGCGTTCTTGGGCGCTCTTGGGGCAGTCCTGGGCCCCTATTGGGGTATTGGGGCTCTCTTGGGCCATTTTGGAGCCATCCTGAAACCCCAGTTGGAAGCGAAACGGCGAGAATCAAATAATGGGCTCCGTGGCCACTTGGAGCCGTCTTGGGGCTGTCACGGCGCTTCATGTAGGCATATCAGGAGTTATCTCGAGCCATCTGGGGCAGTATTGTGCGATCTTGGAGGCCGCCTGGGGCTATATGAGACCCTCTTGAGGCCATCTTGGGTCATCTTGGACACTCCAATCCCTCGCGATGAGGGCAAGGTAAACCTCTCCCCGAAGGGGAAGGAGGTTGGAAGAGGAAGCGTCTTAAACCACCTACTCCCAAAGGGCTGGGAGGGGCTTCAGCTTACGCAGAGGGCAGGGAGCCTAATCGGCCTTTCACAGGATCATCGCTGCCACCAGTGCTGTGCATGCACTACGTTCACTTTTGATTGGTCACCGTTTTTCCTATGATTGTACTGCATCGCCAAAAAGCGCGACGCCCTGGAGCACAGCTGGTTATGGTCAGGGGGCGCCCAGGTGCACCAGAGTCGGTTCGCGATGACCCACAGGGACTTGGTCAGTTCTCCCCACTCCTCGTCTCCTCCTCTTCCTTCTTCCTCTTCCTCCTCCTGCCCCCTTCTCTCTCTATTTCCTAATGGACGCTATGGTGTTGTTGTTACCGTGCAGCGTTCATACACGCCTGCATGTCCTCCCCTCAGGTGATTCTTGCTGTCTGCTGCCACCTTCTCCCTCAGCAAAACCGTTCGATGGATTATCGAGGCCGAATGCGGAGTAGCTGAATGGTAACGCCCCTCGCTGCTGCCTGCCTCTTGATTGCCTGAAGGGCTGCGCTGGCAGGTTAATTGGCTGATTGCTGGACAGGTTGGCAATTCAGATGGATGGGTGGTTGGTATGTTGGCTGTGTAATTGGCATGATGGCTGGCTGGCGGATTGGATGGCTGGCTGGTCTGTCGGCGGGTTCGTGGAGGAGGTGGAGGGGTCAGATGGATGCGTACCTCTCCCAGTGTCCTTCATCTTCGTATTCGTGTTCCTCCTGCTGCTGCTGCTTCTCCTATCTCCTGCCCCTCCTCTCCATCCGCTTGCCCTGCGAAGTCGGTGACACTTCTTCGTGGCGACACGGTGGAGTTCATGGGAGTCGGAGAGCCTGGCGCCAAGACCGCTTTGACGCTGCGCACAGGGACCGTGGAGGCCCTGAAGCCGTGCATGGCCTTGCCATCTAGGAGGAGGCAGAGGATTAGCAGGGGGAGGGAGTACGATGCAGGAGGATTCAGGAGGAGGAGGAGGAAGAGGAGGAGGAGGAGGAGGGTGACGAGTTGGAGGGAGCCGGCGGACAGGCGCCCCTGGCCTTTCCCCGCCTCCTCTCCCGCTCCTCCAACCGTGACCATCCGTCTTTCTTGCGTCTCTCTCTTTGCCTCTTGATTTTCTTCTGCCCTCCCCCAAGCACCGGCTGGGGGAGGCCATCGAAGGCATCGGGGCGATTGCTCGACACTGTCCGCATTATCGAGTCACCGAGGTGGAAGGAGAGGATGAGGATGAGGATGAGGATGAGGATGAGGATGATGATGATGATGAGGATGATGATGATGATGATGATGATGATGATGCTGATGATGCTGATGACAATGATGATGCTGCTGATGATGATGAGGAGGAGGACGATGCTGCTGCTGATGATGATGATGAGATGATGATGATGCTGATGATGATGATGATGATGATGATGGTGATGATGATGATGATGATGATGATGGTGATGATGATGATGATGATGATGAGGATGAGGATGAGGATGATGATGATTATGATGATGATGATGATGATGAGGATGAGGATGAGGATGAGGATGAGGATGAGGGTGAGGATGAGGATGATGATGATGATGATGATGATGATGATGATGATGATGATGATGATGATGATGATGATGATGATGATGATGATGATGATGATGATGATGACGATGATGATGATGATGCTGATGATGATGATGATGATGATGATGATGATGGTGATGATGATGATGATGATGATGATGATGATGATGATGATGATGATGATGATGATGATGATGATGATGATGATGATGATGATGAGGATGAGGATGAGGATGAGGATGAGGATGATAGGATGATGATGCTGATGATGATGATGATGATGATGATGCTGATGATGATGATGATGATGATGATGATGATGAGGAGGAGGAGGAGGAGGAGGAGGAGGAGGATGAGGAGGAGGAGGAGGAGGATCAGGAGGAGCACTTGCGAGCAGTGTGCAGCGCGCCCTAGAAAGTGTATCGAGTTCAGGGGAGGCTCAGGCTGGCGATCGCGGGGGGCAAAGGAGGATGCACAGGAGGAGAAGGAGGATGCGGAGGACGATTTTTTTGACATCCACAGCGCAAAAAACCCGTGAAGGGCATGTAAAACGGGCTGTGCTGGGTGAGGCCTGCGCCTACACCCCGAGGAGGAGGAGGCGGAGGAGGAGGAGGAGGAGGAGGGGGAGGAGGAGGAGGAGGAGGAGGAGGAGGAGGAGGAGGAGGAGGAGGAGGGGGAGGAAATGGAGGATGAGGAGGAGAAGGAGGAGGAGGAGGAGGAGGAGGAGGAGGAGGAGGAGGAGGAGGAGACGGGGGGTGCAGAGGAAACGATAGTCGGAGGCGGAGTGCTTATCCCTCCCTTCTCTTCTTGCGTTCTTCCCCATCTCCCCCCCGTTGGCGAGCGGATGCGCTGGCTCATCCGTCGCCTCCTGCTCTCCACGAGAGGGCAGACGGGTGGCGGAAGTGGGGTACGAGGGAGGAGAAGCGGGAGGAGTAGTGCGGAGGAGGAGTATGCATGGAGGGAAAGCAGGAGGGAGATCAGGAGGAGGGAGATCATGAAGAGGAGTAGGAGTAGGAGTAGGAGCAGGAGTAGGAGTAGGAGTAGGAGTACGACTGCGACTAGGAGGAGAAGGAGTTTGATGTTGATAAGGAGGAGGAGGAGGAGGAGGAGGAGGAGGAGGAGCAGGAAGGGGAGGATGAGTGAATGCAGAAGGATGAGGATGAGCAGGAGCATGTAGGAGCAGGAGCAGGAGGAGGAGGAGGAGGAGGAGGAGGAGGGAATGCAGGAGGGAAAGCAGGATGAGGAGGACGTTTGCGGAGGAGAAACACCAGGAGAGCACATCTCTGCGACTACCACTCTCTCTCACACCCACACATACATTGTTTTCCTGTCTTTGTTGATGTTCGGCATGATCTGGCACGGTGAAGCCCCCTTCCATCAGCTGGGAAGCTGGCAGTTCTCATCCCCGGCGCTTGATCGTGAAAACAGGGCAACCGCCCACCGATCGGGGCATCCTTGCGCCAACCAGGGTGTCCAGTGCCTCGGGATGATCACCGTGATTTCATTATTTGCGCCAAGACGTGGGATACCATCTCCCAGCGCCATCGTTTCATCATTCGGGACATCATGTCGTTGGGATGCCCGATCTTCTTTCCTCCAAACATCGGCAGCGAGCGAGGGGGGGAAGTGAGAAGAATAAGAAGGCCTTCTCAGAAGGCGGCAGGGCTTCTCAGAAGCCCCGCTGCCTGCTGAAAGGTATTCCGGGGATGGCTCAGAAAACCTCTCAGAAGGCCAGGCGGGGGACTTCCGAGCCTTTGAGAAGGGCCGCCCCTTCTTATCTCCCCACCGCCCGTTTTGTGTGTCTCTGGGAAAGGCTCAGCAACTCTCTCAGAAGACCGGGGGACTTCCAAGCCTTCTGAGAAGGCCCGCCCCTTTTCACTTCCCCTCCGCCCGTTTTCTGTGTCTCCGGGGAAGGCTCAGAAAACCTAGAGTCTGAGAAGGCCCCCCCCGGAGGGGCCCGCGGAGGAGCGCCCGGATGGGCCCGCGGAGGGGCGAAGGCGTTGCCCGGGGGCCCGGGCGCCTCCAGGGCCCGCGAGGCTTCTGTCGGGCGTGTGCCCTACAGGGGGATTGTCGACGAAGAATCACAAATATTTTCAAAATACCCTCAACATGGCCCCCCCCCAAAAAAAACCTTACAAAACCCCAGATGCCCCCCAAAATACTCCCAAAACACCCCCCAAATGCCCCCAAAATGCCACCAAAATACCCCCAAGATTATCGACGAAGAATAAAAAATACCCCCAAAATGCCCCAAAAAGGTCATGACATACTCAAAGAATAGTCCCCAGACTATTTTTGGGCTATTTTTTTGTTATTTTTTTTTTTTTGGATATTTTTTATTTTTCGTCGAAAATCCCCCTGTCGGGGGACAGGCCCGACGTAACGCTAGGCGGAGGAGGACAAGGCTTGTGGAAGTCGATTAACGGAGACGAAGCATGCTGCCAAATAATTTCCAGATGTCTAGGACATGTTTCAAGCATGTTCTGAAGCTGTAAAAACATGTTCGAGACGTTTTTAGGGCATGCTCTACACATTTGAAAGTCATGGCATCCACAAGACAAGGCACCGATGCCGCTGCTCCCTGGACCTCGCCGGCCAAAACACCCTGATGCTGATGACGATGATGATGCTGATGCTGATGCTGCTGCTGATGACGATGATGGTGGTGGTGCTGGCGATGATGATGCTGATGATGATGATGCTGCTGCTGCTGCTGATGATGATGATGATGATGATGATGATGATGATGATGATGATGATGAGGAGGAGGAGGAGGAGGAGGAGGACAGGGGTAAGCAGGGGTTGGGGAGGAATGAGGGGGGAGGGGTCCGCTTCACGTATCGGTAGGACGAGTCGGACACAGTCGTGCGCAGACATCTTGTGGCTCCCATGCATGTCGCTACCCCCTGAGCCTGTTCTAGCTCTTGCTTTTTCCTCCTGCTTTGCGCCGAACCAGGTCGGCACCATGGGCAAGGTGAGAGGGTACAGCAAGAAGGACGACACGAAGATCGTTGTCGACTTTCCGACCTGTCGTGCGACTGTCCCGGTTCACAACGTCAAGAAGGACAGGCTGCGACTCCTGGGGGGTCTGTCTCCAGTCAAGCTTGAGCCCTCCGTTTGGAATTGCTGCTGTCGCAAGACTCAGCGTACCAGCGTTATAGTTTTTTTGGTTTCCATGTGGAATGCTTCGTGCATTTGTGCAACGACAGCGACGCCTCTTCCTGTTCGGCTTGTCCCTCAGCTGGTCAGTTGCCTCGGCGGAGCGGCGCTTCACAATACACCCATCTCCGCAATTCTTCACGCTTCGCGTATCCCCACCAGCCCATTCAGAAACCCTGCCCACGAGAGCTGACGGGAAAAGGAACGAAGGGACACATCTAGGGAAACAAAGCGAGCAACCAGGATGAACCGAGAGATCTTTGGGAGCAAGGGGGTGGCCTTGGAAGGCCTCCTCGGGCCATCCCTGGGGGCCGCTAGGGGGCGAGGGGAAGAGGAGGAGGAGGAAGAGGAGGAGGAGTGCTTCCGCTTTATGTTTTCCTCATTCTACCTCAGACCACCTGTCGCCCAAGGGGCTGGTGGGATTTCTCAGCCATCAGCTGGTGCTGCTGCTGGTGGTGCTGCTGAGGTTGTTGCTGCCTCTGCTGGTGCTGCGGCTGGTGCCCTGGAAGGCCTGTTGGGGCCATCCAGGAGAGCATCGATCAAAAGATGGGGGGTCTTCGATTTCGGCCCCTTCTCAGGAGCCCTCAACATCGCCTCTTGGAGCTCTCCTGGGGCTCTTTGGGAGGTTATTGGAGCTCTCTTGGGGCTGTTTTAGAGGTCTTGGGGCCCTCTTGGGGCCCTCTTGGGGCTCTCTTGGGGCCCTCTTGGGAGCCCTGGAAGGCCTCTTGGGGCCATCCTGAAGGCCATCGATCAAAGGAGGAGATGGTGTAACGTTCGGTCCCCCCCCATAGAGGCCAACATGGGGCCAACACCTTAGTAAAACCAGTGATTTGGGCTTCTTCGCCGAGGCCGTACGCCCTGACACCTCGCGGAACCCCCTCACAAAAGTCCAGGGGAGGGGTATGGGGGAGGGGTCAAGACGCCCTCCCCGCCCGCAAGCCGTCTCGCTCATTCCCTCCCGCCCTCCCAACACATACGTAGCACCCGAGCCTGGCCGGAGCCGCAGCATATCCAGCAGTCGTCTTTGGATGGGCAGCTACTGGGGGCGACTCCGCCGCCGCCGCCGCCGCCGCCTCCGCCGCTGCCGCCGCCGCCCGCCGCCGCCGCCGCCGCCGCTGTCCGCCGCCGACGCGCCGCCTGCCGCCGCCGCCGCCGCCGCCGCGGCCGCCGCCCCGCTGCCGAATCGCCGCCGCCGCAGCCGCCGCCGCCGCCCCGCCGTCGCCGCCGCCGCCGCCGCCGCCACCGCCGCCACCGCCGCCGCAGCCGCCGCAGCCGCTGCCCCCGCCGCAGCCGCCGCAGCCGCCGCCGCCGCCAAGTGTATTTTGTATTTTGTTGGCAGGGATGATGGGTGGAGGCCGCATCGGGTTCGCTGCGCATGCTCCGAATTTGGAGGCAGAGTGTGTTGCACATTGTTTTTTTGCAAGGGGTGGTGGTGGTGGGGGGGTGGCGCGTGGTCTCGGGTTGGCTCCCAGTCGCCCGGGGGAGGGGGTGTATATTAATAGGGAACAATGATGAACCCCTCCTCGTAGGGGGAGAGAGTTTTTTTTTGGAATAGGGAAGAGGAATTTCGTTAGACCACTTGTGCCCAGAGGGCTGGTGGGATTGCGACGCTTCGGTGTTGATCCTCCGCTGCATCATGTTGCTGCTGCTCCTCCACCTCCTCCTCCCCCTGTCCCTACTCCTCGCCTTATTGTCGTCCTCGGTTCTCCCCCTCACCTCCCTCTTCTTCCCTCCCTCTGCGCCCCCCCTCTCCCCCTCTCTGCTCCTCCTCCTCTTCTTTTCCTCCTCCTCTCCTCCTCTAGACCCACACTTGTTACTCTTCATCCACCCAATTCCGTCGCCGCCATCCTCCACCCCTTTCTCCTTCGTATCCTCCCCCTCCTCCTTCACCCCCTCATCCTTCTCTTCGTTTCCTCCTTTAACTCCTTCTCCACTGCAACCTCCTTTCCCCTCGTGCTCTTCCTTGTCCTCTCTCCTCCTCCTTTTCGGCTCTCCCCCCGCCTCCCTGAGGGCACGGAAGGGGGGACAGAAGACCATGTGAGCAGATGAGGACACTCAGCCATATTTCATGGTTGCCATTCCGAGAAGAATTGACCGCGCGAGGATCCATTCAGCAATTCTGGGTTGATGCTGCCCACCCCAGACGATCCCAATTGCGGAAGTGTGAAGAGGCTGCCGTTCGGACGTGCACATCCTTATTTCCTGGTTTCCTCGGCTCTGCGTCTGCCTCTTCCCACTGGTCCCCCTTCGTCGCCTGTCTTTGCCCTGGCTGCCTTCTCCCTCTCCCCGTGCTTCTCTCTCGCTGTCCCGCCCCCTGCCTTGCTGCTGTCCTGCACTGCCGCTGTCGGCCGCACACTGCACCGAGCGCTTTGGTCACGATGCCAGTGCCGTGTCCTCGATTTGATCGTTGGCACGCCTGTGCTTCTCCAACATGCCGAATATCTAGGGCTCCTAGATGGGGTCGGGGTAGATGGGGTCGGAGGATCGCTCCACATCGCCGATGCATAGCCAATGCGGCTCGATGTGGATCCCGATTTGCTTAACGTCGACGTCGCCGATGCATCGCCCCCGTCGACGATGCATCGCTGGTGCATCGCCGATGCATCGCCGATGCATCACTGATTCATCGCCGGTGTATCGGCGATGCGGCGCGATCCTCCGACCCCATCTACTCCGACCCCATCTAGGAGGTCTCTAGAATATCGTCACACCGCGAACGTAGAACAGCGTGGTGCGAGAATCCACCCCTGCAGGAGTGGAAGCTGAGCAGCCGACGGCGGAAGGCGATGGCGTGCTGGGCGACCCTTTTAGGCCACCGCATCTCAGTCGGGGTAGCGGGAGTCATGTGAAGCAGGTTCCTTCTATCGCCGCGATCCTCCATTCTGATTCTCCCCTGGCAACCCAGTGTAGCACCGCGGCCCCGAGCATGCGTCCAGGTACGGCCACAACGTCGAGCCCCCCCCCGCCCCGCGGCATGTCTCGCCAGCCGTGGGTTGTGTTCTCGATGTCCCTGCACAGCCGCCTCTCCTCCTTTCGTTGGCTTGACCTCCCTGGTCCTGCGCCCCCCCCTCCCGCACGCGTCTCGCGTGCCTTCGCTCCTCTATTCTCGTCGTGTGGCCGAGGGTGGTGGTGCTCGAGCAGCGGGCCACTCTCGCACTGGCCAGCTGGCGGCAGAGCGCGTACACGTTGTTCTCGTCTGTGCGGTGTGGCAGCACTTTTTCCAGCAGGGAAAGCCTTCCCTTCCGGCGTGCCCCCCACCCAAACAAGGAGATCTTGCACTCTTGGTGTGTCGGCAGTGTGAAGCAAGCTACGCTTGGTGTGAGCTTTGTTGCATGTGGTGACCGCAATGCGATCATAGCGATGTGGTGCAAGCTGTGCGGCGTAAATTGTGAGATGTACGCAGGGTGGTGTATTACACACACGCACATATATATAATCTGCGTACATATATCCAGCTGCCAGCGGCACGTCCCGCCATCGTGTCAGCCCAACATTCTTTGTGGTGACTGTTCGAGGGGGCACGGGAGGGCGTCACGTGTGACGTTTCGCGCCTCCAGGTTTGGGAGAGCCGTGGCGAGGATGTTGAGGAGTATGAGGATGATGATGATGACGACGATGACGACGACGATGATGCTGATGATGCTGATGATGATGAGGAGGATGCTGCTGATGATGATGGTGATGAGGGGGGAAGGAGGAGGAGGAGGAGGAGGAGGAGGAGGAGGAGGAGGAGGAGGAGGAGGAGGAGGAGGAGGATGCAACTCGTTTGGGCCGTCTTGGGGCTGTCTTGGCCTCCTGTGAGGCAGTCTTGAAGTCTTGAAGGGGTCTCTCGGGGCCATGTTGGGCCGTCTCAGGGCCCGCTTAAGCCCGCTTGGGGCTCTCTTGGGCCGTTGTTGTGCCCTCCTGAGCTTCTGGTCTCAGGCCGTCTCTGGCCCCACGGGAGGCCCCTTTCTTGGGTCGTCCCGGGGCCGTCTTGGATGCCTCCTGGGCCGTCGCGGAGTCCTTTTGTGCCGTCTTGAGCTGACGGCAGCCAGAGAGGCGAGAATGCCAACATCATGCACGAACCCAGTGAATATCAATGATTTTGGCTTCTTCGGACCCTGTTGGAGGTCTTCCTGTGGCCCTCTGGGCCCTCTTGGAGGTTCCTTGGGCCGCCTTGAGTCAATACTCGGCCGCCTTGGGGCCATCCTGGGCCGTTTTCAGTGCATCTTGGGCCACCTTGGTGTCTTTGGTTGCCCGCGCGGGCCGCCTTGAAAGCTCGGGATGGTTTTGACAGAGGGCTCGTGGCTTGGGAGGCCCTGGAGCGCTTGGGAGCAGCGCTTGGGAATGCGGGAGGTGCACGATCCTTGATCGGGTGCCTGCGGGATGAGGGGTCCAGGAGTAAGCAGCCATGCGGGAAGTGCACAATCCCCGAGCTGGCGCGCATGGAAGGAGGGTTCGGGCATCAGCTGCCCTGTGGGAAGTGCACCATCCTCGAGCGTGCACGCGTGGAGGGGGGGATTCAGGGCATCCGCTGCCACGCAGGAGGTGCACCCATCCTCGAGCGGGCACGCGCGGAACGGGGGCTGTGGCACTCGCTGCCATGCTGGAAGCGCACCAGCCTCGAGCGGGCACGCGCGAGGGAGGTGGCCTCGGAAAGGAGGGGCGAGGCATGCAGCAGTCCGCGGGCAGCGTCAGGAGGAGGAGGAGGAGGAGGAGGAGGAGGAGGAGGAGGAGGAGGAAGAGGAGGAGGAGGAGGAGGAGATGGGGGAGGCGGAGGAGCAGGAGGAGGGGGGGGGTCCCTTTATCAGATGGCAAAATTCCCCACCAGACAGACCTTAGCATGCTTCCACGCCTCAGCGTGCCAGAGGGGCACGGTGGCTGATTTGTGTATGTATGTATGTATGTATGTATGTATGTATGTATGTATATATATATATATATGTATTTACACATCCTGCATATACGTATACATATATATACACATATACACCATTTGTATATAAACAAATACATATATATATACACAAATACACATTCATCTGTATATCACATTATAGTTCCATATCTCTCTCTCTATATATATATGCAAATGTATGCATGTATACAAGACTGCAGTGGCGCTTGGCACCATGCACCTTGTTCCTTGTAGTTTCGGATGCAGGCGGCGCGCGTGCGAGTGGACATGGGGCGGGCCACCGCCAAATCGGAATGGGCGAGGAATTCCGAGGCGGGAGCAGCCGGACAACACCAGCTGAGGCCAGCTCAGGGCGTCTCGGGGCCCAGAGGCACGAATACGTCTCAGGCCTGTGGCTGGTCTAGCATGAAGCAAGGCATCCTCCTCTGTCTCCTCCTCCCCCTTTTCCTCCTCTCCTCTCTCCTCCTCATCCTCATCCTCTTTCTCCTCTCTCTCCCTCTTCCTCTAATTTCTCCTTCTCCTCCTCCTCCTCTTCCTCTTCCTCCACTTCCTACTCGTCTTCTTCTTCCTGCTTCTCCTCTGTCTGCATCTTCTCCATTATTCTGGTCCTTCTCTCCGTCCTCGTCGTCCTCTTCATCCTCCTCCTCCTCCTCCTCCTCCTCCTCCTCCTCTTCCTTCCCCCCTCCTTCTTCCCAATGTGTCGCGCGCTTTCGTTTCCAATCGGCTCCTGCGGCCTCAGGAGGGCCCCAGAGGGTTTCAAAACAGGCGCCAGAGAGGCCCAAGGCTGGCCCATCAGGGCCTGGGAAGGCCACAATCCAACAGGGCCCGCAGAGTCGGACATTAGAAAACAATATTTGGAAAAACAATGTTTTCGACCCTCTCTCTTTTTCGCTTCTGGATGACTCGACAGGCGTCAAGATGACCTCGGGATTGCTTCAGAGGGGCGCAAGCCGAGGCCCACAGGCCCAAGGCTGGCCGAAAAGGGCCCACATAATTGATAATACTCAAAACAAAACCATGGGACAATCGATGTTTTCGGTCTTCTCGCTTTGTCGCTTCCGATTGGCTCTTGACATCTCTCGAGGCATCAAGATAAGCCCATGACGGCTCCAAGTGAGTCCCCAGAGGAGCCAGGAGGGCGCAGACTGGCCCTAGAGGGCCCGGAGGTTCGAACATCAATGAAAACCCATGGGCAAAGCAATGTTTTCGCCCTTCTCGCCTTTTCGCTTCTGGTTGGCTCGGGAGGCGTCAAGATAGCCCCAGGCTGGCTCTAGAGAGGCGCAAGCCGAGGCCCACAGAAGCCAAAGGCTGGCCGAAAAAGGCAAAAATAATTGACAATCGAGGAGAACCCATTGGGAAATCAATGTTTTTGGCCTTCTCGCCTTTTCGCTTACTATCCGCTCTTGAGGCGCCAAGATTGCCCCATGACGGCTCCAAACGAGTCCCCGGACGAGCCCTAAAGAGATTTAAGGCTATTCGATAAGGCATTGAAAATCAATGCATGAGAAAACAACGTTTTTGGCCTTCTCGCTTTGTCGCTTACGATCAGCTCTTGAGACGTCGAGATAACTTCAGGAGGGCTCCAAATGAGTTCCCAGACGATCCCCAAAGAGGCCCAAGGCTGGCGCAACAGGGCCCGGAAAGTCGAACATCAGAGAAAGCCCTACGAAAAAAACAATGCTTTCGGCTTGGGGGGCGTCAAGATGACCCCAGGATGGCCGCAGACAGGCGCAACACAGGCCCGACGATTCGAAATTCGTTTGCGGGTGGGGTGGGGGGGCGCGGGGGACTGGGCTCCCCGGTCCCATAAAAATGTATGAATAGGAATATATGCCGAATCTATATATATGTATAGAAAGATGTGTGTATATACGTATAACTATATGTATGAGTACGTATATGTATTTATGCGATCTACTATATGTGTGCATGCGTGTGTGTATATATAGATATATTCACATTTATATATGTCAGCAAATACTTATATGCCTGTGTATATATGTATGCTTATATATATACACGCGCTTTTCTTTATATATAGATATATACACATTGATGTGTATACTATGTATATGACTGCATGTCACGCAAGCAGTGCAGGCAGCGCGAGGGGCCCGCGAGCTGCCCACGACCGCCCCCCGCGCGACGCCCCGGGGCAGACCCTGCCCGTGCACGGGGCGCTCACGACTCCCCGGCGGTCGCCCACCGTGCTGGGCGTGTTGTGTTGTCCACCACCTCGGCATCGCTCGGACGTGTGCATTTTTCCTTCGGCGAGGACCATCGAGGAGCATCCTTGATCACTTGGCGAGAAAGCCGCGCACGAAACCGAACAAAAGCACACGGAATGGACGTCCGAGCGATGGCGAGCCACCGCCATCATGAGTTGGAAGCTGGGCGAGGGCTGTTAAAACCGTGGCTGCTAAAACGGCCCTCCCGGAAGGAAAAAGCAACTTCCCGGAAGGAGGCGCGGCGCGCGAAACAGGCAGCGGGCTTCTTCCCGGAAGGACGAAGACAACTGCCCGGAGGTCGATTTTAGCAGCCACGGATTTAGCAGCCCTTGCCCGGCTTCCGAATGAGTTGGAGGGGGGTGGAGAGGAAGAAGATGAGGAGGAGGGCCCCCTCCCCCTCCCACTTATGGTGGTGGCGGTGGAACACGAGCCCACCACACCAGGTGAAAGTTTAGAGCAGGCCCAGCCGGCGCACGGGGCGCTTACGAGACGAGACTTCGGCATGCCAATTTCGGGCGATCGCAGACATGGATGAAGGTGGCGTGGATTTGCGACCGGTCCCGTTTCCATGGGAGATCGCGGATTTCCGCCGCCGAGCGAGGCGGCACCAGCCGCATTTTGGGGAGGGCACCTCCCCCGATCCATATCTGCGCGCCCCCGACAATTCAATTACGAATTCCCTCAAGATGAG